GTCGACTATCTGTGAATTGCGAATAAAATTTGGTACCTTAGTAGGGGCTTGGTTCAATTGTTAATTTGGGTACGTAATTTGCAAATAGATCGTCATACTGTAATTCAACGTAAGGTCTTATACACTAGGCAGTTATGTCACGAAAAATCTGCGATTTTAGGATGAAGGCTATTATTAGAGAAATGTTGAAATCGAAGTAGACAGTAATTCTACAACATCAATACCTACACTGATCGAGGCAATCACCAACATATGATGGATAACTGGTTTAGGTTGGAGATAGAACGATATATTTGATATGGGTAAAAGTGATGTTACATAAGTATGACCACGTTTGCAAGTCCGAGCCATGCCATCCGATAAATTGAATTTTGATTGAATGCTACCGAGTCCACCATAATTGACCTCCTCTTAGTGCTACATGATGAAACTCTATTTTTCCAGTTATGAACAAAATAAGTCTGCTTGGAAAATGGGCCAATAAACTAACTGTAAGTGAAGAAAACACGAGTCAAACGAAGGCTTAGATTTCAGATTCGTTAAGTGAATTGGAGAGATGCATGAGCAAGGAAACTACCTTAGTAATTCGAGTACATTTTCAGAATAATTTATAAAACTTAGGAAATCAACAGTCATGGCGTGAATCACTGTCAATGGACAAATGTAAACGTGAATATTATGCACGCATTTTCAAGTTTCTGTAAATAATATCGACAGACATCACCCATGGAACTGAAGGATTTCCTTAACGTTACCAAGTAGAGCGGTGGATCAGTGGTTAAGGCGTTTAACTTTCAACCATTAGGTTACAGTTTTGAATCGCGCTTCATTTACTTCAGTTTGAACAACCGGATTGAATCATTATTGCTCACAATTAAAGTGTGGCCCATATACAAGTACCTGTTAAATGAGTTTAATTACTAATTATTGTTATTATTAAAATCAAACGGCACTACTATTGAAGTTTTATGTTTTGTGTTATTTATTTTATTTCAACACATAGATATTGGTAGAAGGGGGCACGAAATGCATATGCGCCACACGAATCTCAATTGATTAGTGTGTGGGCTGTAATACTGCCAGGGTGCCCAAACCGAAGCAGGTGGTTTCCTTAGGGGGACACACCCCGAGCATTTGACCAGGAATAACATTCCGCGTACTCAAATCGTTTGCACTAGCAGAGCGAGGTGATAAAGGGACGTCAGATGGGTTAGTCGTGAAGATGAGAGAGTTATTAGGAGGTGTAGGAAGGATTTGAATGTGACCAACTTGGTCTCGTGTGCTGTTACGGGTATGAGGGCTGATATCACTTCCGGTTGCCCATACCGTGGAAGGGTATTTCTTGAGGAACACGCGTAGCATGTCACTTGATAGATATCTGGCTTTACGACATTTATTCGGTCGTGAAAACACAACCACGTCATCCATTAAATATGCTCTTAGTGCATGTATTATCCTTTCTCTGTTAATATCATTCTCAAAAACGGGGCTATTATTTCTTTATGTGCTTATCAAACAAGAAAAGGATTTAATGGTACATGAACCACTGAAATGGATAATAACGACAAACCAACAATATTCTTTATATGTAAAAATAATTCGCACCAACTGATCCTAATGACACCACTACGCTGGAAGACTACCTCTATTTAAGCTGTGATTTACCGTTTCCAAATGAAAATAAAAACGGTCATAACAAACGAGGCAAAGCCCACACATTTCGTCTGACGTTTTTTCGAAACTTTTAGGATTGACGTATGTTTACAATTTTTTAATACACCAAAGGTGAAACTCTAAGTCTAGCCAGCACACAAACATTTTGATAGTCATATCTCTTAATTCCTAAGTGTAAAGCAGCACCATGACATGAAGTCCATTTTGAAGTGAAAGTACACTTTTGTAAAAATTTCAACAGTATTTAGTAAGTTTAAGCAATTTAAGTTAAAAGACAAAATTTTTGAACTTGTAGTAACGTAAACCAAACACCACACAACGGTAACTGAAATGACTATCAATAAAAGTCAATTTCACTAACAAATACATGTTTGTAACATCCAGGATATAGGACATTGTGCTAGAGTTAGAGCTAAAAGGAACACACTACTATCGAATGAAATTCTTCTAATAACTCGAAGAGATTGCTAGAGACCACCCTGAAATGAACTAATGAGTATTCAGGTAAAAAAAGTACATACCACTGAATTATGTCAATCCCCAATCGTAAGTTAAATTACGACGTAGATTGGTACATAGTATTCTGACTTTTCAGTTATTATCAAATCTATATTTCTCAAGATTTTGCGGATATACGAAATTAAGCCTGCAGTATTAAACATGGAATACAGAAGGATTACTTAAGATCTTACAAACTGACTCTGTATTTGTTTAAATGAATTTTAAAGCTTTATATAATCTACCCTCAATACATGTTCTGTAGACAATTCTATTGTTGATCTCACCTAGGAAAATGGCCCCCAAATGCCCTGGTACGGCCGAGAGTGGGGAGACTCTGCTCACCCTCTCGAAATGCTCTCACATGGCCACGCGTATATAGTCTCGGCCAGGGAAGTCCTACTCACTGCCTCCTCGCGGCGGGGGGTGTTGTTTACGAAATTGAAAGGACGAAAAGCGAATATTCAGAGCTTTAACCGAGTTGGTGGGCATGGGGAGTCCACCTAGGGGAGTTGGAAAACCCTGATTCCAAACCAATGGTGCACATGGGCTCCAGGATCCTGAAGGAACAAATGGCGTATGAATCAATTGTTGGTCACCAGCTACCATGTGACTGCATCTCCTTACGATGCTCCACTGCCTTGTGGATCAGACCTTCAGGTTGAAGGCTCCGGTTGTGGCCCCCTAGGAAAGCCACCTGCTTCGGTTTGCTCACCCGAGCAGCATCGCAGCCCTCTCACAAATCGGATGGCGAAATGTGGCGCATATGTATTCAGTGCCTCCTTGTACCAATGTTTGTGTTTAAATAGATTAACTAGGGACATGGACAAAATAAGTCTGCTTGGAAAATGGGCCAATAAACTAACTGTAAGTGAAGAAAACACGAGTCAAACGAAGGCTTAGATTTCAGATTCGTTAAGTGAATTGGAGAGATGCATGTGCAAGGAAACTACCTTAGTAATTCGAGTACATTTTCAGAATAATTTATAACCTACATTTATTCAAAACTGGTGTTTTTGAGTTAATATGCAAATGTCCTGTCAAATATGAAAGATCAGTCCTAATATGTATAATATTATTTAGAAGAATAAGACTACTACTGTCGACCAAATTAATGTATCGTCAGAGTAAACTTCGAAACGAGGAAGGGAAAAATTATGTATATACATACTGATTTTAAAAATGATCAAATCTAAATTGCGGGAAAATTAGCAATACTGAACCTTAAAAAAATCGAGAACTTGCAAAATTAGTTCTAAAGAATATTTAATTTATGCGAGTATTAGCAATGGCTGCGTGGTAGTATAGACTAAAACAAGAACGTATAATTTCACAATTATAATAGTGGTATCAAAGGTGGTGGATAGATGAAAATCCTGTATCCGTATACATAATGAACCTAAGGGAAGATTTGATTCAAGTGAAAACTTTTGTCAAATCGTTTGAACTACTTATTATTTTGTAAGTAACAACTAAATACTAAGACAAAACTACCAGCAATAGGACTGAACTATTTTTCCTTTGTTTACTGAAGACAATTCTGCAACTGAACTTTATTTACAGAACTAAATATCGAAAGGATGGATAGAAAACGTTCGACTTATTTAACACTAGCAAGTTCCATTATAAGCAGATATGATCATTACACGGGTTTTTATTATTTATTTTATTTGAACACAGATATTGGTACAAGGAGGCACTGAATACATATGCGCCACATTTCGCCATCCGATTTGTGAGAGGGCTGCGATGCTGCTCGGGTGAGCAAACCGAAGCAGGTGGCTTTCCTAGGGGGCCACAACCGGAGCCTTCAACCTGAAGGTCTGATCCACAAGGCAGTGGAGCATCGTAAGGAGATGCAGTCACATGGTAGCTGGTGACCAACAATTGATTCATACGCCATTTGTTCCTTCAGGATCCTGGAGCCCATGTGCACCATTGGTTTGGAATCAGGGTTTTCCAACTCCCCTAGGTGGACTCCCCATGCCCACCAACTCGGTTAAAGCTCTGAATATTCGCTTTTCGTCCTTTCAATTTCGTAAACAACACCCCCCGCCGCGAGGAGGCAGTGAGTAGGACTTCCCTGGCCGAGACTATATACGCGTGGCCATGTGAGAGCATTTCGAGAGGGTGAGCAGAGTCTCCCCACTCTCGGCCGTACCAGGGCATTTGGGGGCCATTACACGGGTCCCGGTAGAAATATAATCTCAACAATTGTATTAATGTATGTGCTCAAAATATTAAAACTCTGTGCAATATGTTCGGAACAGATATCTAATGAGCTAGTAAATAAAAACCATCCAAGACCTATTGTGAACGGCTACATGATGTTCTGCGGAATAATTGTGACACGATAATCACTCGCTTAACGTTATCACGTGTACAGTGAAATTTATTTGCTGCATGGGACTTAATACATGACCATGTGGGCTTGGTTAATTCTTTAATAAATAAAAATCCAAACAAGCAACCAAATACATATTTACATAAGCTGTGAACCACACCACTATACGACCGCTAAACACTGTGTACGACGTATAGTGTCGAATTCCAGTATATGACACCCTATTCGATGTGTCTGAGCAATGAAACAAACAGCGAACTCATAACAACCAATAAAACGGTATCTACAATACTCCATTCCAGATATCACTTGACGAATAAGAAATGGATTCTTCTAGATGAGAACCAAATGTCTCTCCAACTAACCGAAACAAATTACAATGTAAAGACTATCGATCATCAAATAAATCGAAAACTGTACTACAAACAACATATAGTTTGCAGAATTTTCCCATTTCCCTTTTTTAAATGACTGAAAAACTTACGTGTCCGTATAACACATCCAAGTCAATTAGCTTTTTCCAAATTAAAAATGCTGAAACTTTGTACAATGACTCTGGCGTATTGACACCGGGTTCCTGTAGGAAATGGATAATTGAAAGAATTAGACTTAAAATACTTGTGTAAAATGGTATTTGTGTCCCAATATATTAGTCATATCTATTCTATCAGGGTTGTAAAGTCGTATCAACTGGACAAATTCCTCGTACATATCACCACGAAACTCACAAACATCCAATATCAAGTCCAGCACACGATTTGGATCCAAATCAAAATAACCAATTAATGACCGAATCTGAACCATTACGGCTTCCATCGACGCAGTTGACTTTATTTGACATAATTCTGTTATCAGCTTGGCATAGCCTTCATTTTCTTCACGTAGCAAATTAAATTTTTGTTGTTTGAAAAATAAACGCGTTTTAGTACGAACATAACGCGTTTGGAACTGTTGTTTCGATTGAATGAATGACAGGTTTTCCAAGGTCTCTTCACAAAACCTCTCCATAATCAAAGCAGGATTCACATGATTCTTCAGAATTTCTATTAACCGATAGAAACGATCTCGAACAGATTCTGAGTTAATATCAGCAATTGACGAATCTAAATAGGAAGTTTAGAATTTGTAGATATTTTTAAAATACGTATATACTGACCAATTAACCAGAGGGAATCTAACAGGTCGGATTCAAAGGATCCATTACCACCAAATATCTAGTAAAAAAAAGTAATGAGTTCCGGCAAATTACGTCAAACATACTTTAAATAACTCAGGAACTAATTTGACAAGTATATCAATTTTCCCTTCTCCATTTATCAACTTCAATACCAAATCCGTGAACAATTTGACAGATGCAGCCATTCCACCTTCTTTGCACTTTGTTAGACTGTAACGGAAAAGACTTCATTTAAGCTGCAGAAACTTGAAACATTAGTTTGAAATATAACCGTAAGAACTTTCCCAAAGACAGATTGATGAAACGAATCATAAGTAACCAGAATGAATTGCTAAATTTCAAGGTAAGCATAAAGAATATTAACATTATAAAGTCAAAGGTTTTCGAGACCTAACCGCAGTTTTGGAAACATTTAGGTGGCTGTTACTACGAAGTAGTTGTACTTGCGAATAAATTTAGCCTCTGATTATGCTTCCAGCAATCCAAATGCTTTACAGACAAAAAGCATCATTCAAGTATGTGAATGTATACTTTGGACTCTAAAACAATTTTCTTACAACCGGTTAGCCTTCAAAGTACAACAACAGTAGTGGTGTATGTAGCTAACTCCACTTGAGTTTGCTACACTTCATGGAGAATAGTTTACCGACCTTCGCTAAAACTTAGCTTGAATATGATAGTAGCGTTAATCTTCCGCAGTTCTCGCGGTTGCCAAGATCTCCTTTCTTTAGTATCTCTTCTTTTCAGTCTGTTGGTACTTGTTCTTCCTTCCAAATTTTTCTAAAGCGAATGTGGAACATCTTCACAGTCATCTCTATGTTTGGCTTCAGTGCATCGGCATGTATGCTGACTGGTCTCGCTGCTTTTCCACTGGTGGTCATACTGATCTCTTCGAATGTTGGTGGCCAAAATAGTGGTGTCATTTTTCTGTAGTGGACCACTATCAATCGAGAGAAAAGTCAACTATTATCGTATTCAGACTACATTTGGATGAATTGTGCCTCGATTAAACAAAAGCTATTAAAATCTGTTAGCTTATTTTGACACTGTTTCAGGTCGCTGGATTACATTAAGGTTTGACATGACAGGAAACAAAACAAGACTATCCTGAGGTTTAGAGCTTACAAGGGATCTAAAGAACATAAGTCGCTTTTTTTACGACTAACAACATCACAAATTTTCAGTCTTATTGACTTTTATATGACGCACTCAAAACTCCCCATATTCCAAACACAATATGTGATGTAAAAGAAAAGTGAACAGACCACATAGCAGGCATTCCAAGAAGTGAAGACGTGGATATACGCGCTTACGATGAGGCTAAACGACAAACTTATCACGGCTATTAACCTCAAATGGACAGATATATGAAAATAGAAAACGCGTGTCACACAAAAGCAACCGTAAATGGACGTCAATCAAAAACCGAAATCAAAGGCGGTACTGTCAAAGTAAAATCAGCATTTTAAATACCCCTTACAAACTGGAAATATAATGACAGGAACAATCTGTTTTTACAGAGCGACGGAATTGGTGCTAAATTATACCAATATTTTTGTGGTTTCTCCAAAATCACTCACAAATTCTTTCTGCCGAACTTCTCCCAATCCTTCAGACATGATGTCGTAAATATCGGACTGCAGCAGAAAGTAACAAGGTGTTCCATTTCACACAACCCGGCGATATATGACCGTGGGTTGTTCCCCTAAATAGTTAAATGTCCAATAGAATAATTATCGTTTTTGTGACGAGATTGTATAAACTAGTTAACTGCTACACTCTCTTTTCTCGATTCTTTCTGTAACTGTCAACCATCAGAATACCAAGATGAAGGTTGGTTGGTAGCAATTATACATATAATAAAGTGAGAACTCAAACGTTAAGGGAAGACGATTGTCTCAAGCACTTACAAAACGAATGATTTCATTAACTTGTGATCCAGGCAGTATAAGGAGAACGAAGTGTGAAAACAAAAGGGAAAACGGAGATGATAATAAGCAAGACAGAAATAATTTGATATTATGTGATGATGATGATGATGATGACGAAATTTTTGAGACATACATCAGGCACAGCTGATTCAAGCGGGAGATGGTAATCCAAGGGTGAGTATGTGTTCGTAAGTCACCTGTTGTGGCTTTTCATTGAGGAGGCTGTGGTCGGTTCAGCAGGCAGAGCATTCCAAATATGGGCAACTCTCAAACGTATCAATCACCAACATATGATGGATAACTGGTTTAGGTTGGAGATAGAACGATATATTTGATATGGGTAAAAGTGATGTTACATAAGTATGACCACGTTTGCAAGTCCTAGCCATGCCATCCAATAAATTGAATTTTGATTGAATGCTACCGAGTCCACCATAATTGACCTCCTCTTAGTGCTACATGATGAAAGTCTATTTTTCCAGTTATCTCATGTTCAGTTTTGGGGATTGTGGTTAGTATCCAATGCCACGACAGTCTCATACGTAATCTGTCTAAGCGTCAAGCTGTTAACTTTAGCCTGATACATGAACAGCGTCTAAACACTATGTTGATATCCCATAATGCTTGTGCCTCTGGGGACTTTGACAAACACAGTCTCAAAAATCAATTATATGAGTGTTCGTTTTCCTCCGATCTCTCTTGGTACCCTCATATTTTACTGTCATCGAAAAACGTTTTCCGTCTGACTTACTATATAAAGAGGCAGCATGCTTTTGGGATTACTTGACACTTACATCAATGTATGGGTAACAGTAAATGGGACATATTTCACGGGAAAAAACGTTCGACAGCTTATTGATTGAAGGCGCTTTTCATTATGGATTAGCTTCATTTCGCAGATTTTCATATTGCTGTTCATATTAATATCATGTGACCACAATATCAATACATTTCTAGCATATAATAACGCAATATCGATAAGGATTCATAAGCATAGAACATTGATGACAACACGCTGTTGCCTCCTCGTTGTATCTCCTTATACTTCCACAGATGGCAACTCGGAATTTGAAAGAACAATTGTGTGAAAACCATTTGACCTTCTTTCAGAAAGTTAAATACACATATATTGTATAGTAGAAGAGGTTTAGATAAGTCTCACGATGTTGCGGCTTGGTGAATAAACAACCACATTCAGTTACTCCAATGATGCTAGGATAATAGCTTATAGCTAGCAAGCATCGATTTTAAGCATAAGGAAAGTCGCTAGACAGTGACCTCCAAACTCGACCCAACGATGGACTCGAATAGACAACAGTACCGTCAGCAATCGTTGTAGAGGCTCAGTAGAGCACTGCAGCTTATTCTGGAGCACACGTCTAGACTCGGACCACACTCCAGTTCCAGAACAAATTTGTCTGCCTCTTACCGTGCATAGAAGAGTCACCGCAAGAAAACCCCTTAGAGTTCAATTTGACGTACTGTCTTTTACTTTTATTTATTTCACGTATTTAGCAATGCTACTTGAGAAGCATACTGTAGGCAAACCAATGTTGTAACTTATAGATCATGAATATAAAAATGAGGTGTACCTGCCCTCGCAAATATATATCACATTATTACGAATAGAGAATATCCGTTGGTTGTTGGTGTTCGATCAAAAGTGTCTTCGAAGCATCACTCGTGAATTTTAAGATCACTGAGTCAACAATGCCAATGATAGGAATAGGGCACTAGTTAAAGATGAAAAATCGATTGACAAGGTAGTACCTTACCGACTAATATAGAATAGTGACTTTCCGAGAAAGGCCTCTCTTATTTCAAACTATGTATCATCGAACAGTCTATAATTCTACTTTAAGATTAGGAAGTTTCCTAGTGAAAATGCCACAGGTTTTCGGAGTTTGACAACATTTTAACCAATAACACCTTCTAATATGAAGCGTACCCACCAAGTGAAATCAAAAGACAGAAGCGAGGAGGTTCGAAGATATATTTGATAAGCTATCAATATGCCGAGGATCGTTTGAACTAATCTGGCTAGCGATTGCAGTAGATGTTGAGCACGTGATCTGGTGCGGATGCATGACCGAGCGCCTTTAGCTTGATGAGTCCATTAAAACTAATGTGGTCAGCATCCAATGTCGAAAACTTACAGAGCTATTTATTTTGGGGATTTATTTACCGCTACACTAGTTAGGACAAATCCTATCATTCACATGCATAGAAAAACGGCATAGTTATGGATTGTTCTGAATTGCTCTACTTCACATTAACAAAGCGGCAGAGGAAATAACCGAGATAGAAAGTAAATTATTCAAGATAATTTTAATAATAAGGCGAAAATGGGATATGTAGCTAAAAAGGGATGAATTAAATCAAAGAATGGTAAATTTAACTTCGATCTGCTCGATCCTTATAGATTTTGAAATTAAGTCAGGTAAGATCTTTAAAATTGGGTTACGAATATACCTCGTAAACCCGAAACAAGACACATCCACGTTCTTCAGAATTTAGAATATCAGTCAGTCGAAACTACTTTCCGTTGACATAAACTTGTTTCAGCTAATCCAGTCAGGTTTATAAAAGTCAGCGGTTACGTTCAAAAATTAATTGATTGATCCACTGACATATTTTCAATGAGTTCCAGTATTTAAAAATATAATTTACGCTTATTCGGATTAGTATAGACAAAAGTCTAATTTCATTTTTTAATACACTTTACCTTAAGCAATACTGATAATGAAGCTTACAGAAGTTGATGTTGTCAGCCTAATTTTAGTGAAAAACAAACAAACAACAATGCTCTTTTTCAAAATTGCAACGCTATTGTATTGTATAACCGGTAATTTCACTGGTGTGTGAATATGAGTTGTGACTTGCTTGATTGTGTTACTTTGTGGCTGTGTTGAATGAATAGTGGGACGTATAGTATTGAGGATAGAAACGTTAGTTTTTGAAGGGGTCTTGTGCCTTGTAGGGCCAGCGAAATTCCACTGAGCCGTAGTCAAATCATCCGGTAGTTGGGTCATTGGATATCGAACAAATCACCGATCCTCATCAATGTCAAGGACAGCCAACACGCATCAGTTAATCGTACGCCATGGACTGGCCCATGCGGCAGTGGTCTTACCTTCGGTTGTATCTACTTTAACTAATATATTTCTGTAATAACGTCCTCTGTGCTGTACAGTCTTCAAAGCATCTATAGTACCTTAATACGTCAATGGGGTAATCCATGTAAGGTGCAGACCGCGAAGTGTGACTTCGACGTTAGCTAGTTTGTCACACCACTCACGTATAACTCGAGTAAGCCTCCAATCATTTCGACATAGATCATCCACGCTGGTGATCTACAGCCTCTCCATTATTAGTTCCGATGATATGAGCCTACAACGAAAACCACTCAAAAAGTTGACCCAGATGGACATATTGTACTCTCTATCAGCTTTAGCATCACAGCGATTTTGTACTTAGCCATCAGGGAAGTTGATTTCAAATGTCGAGTTGTTGTGGTGGAAGTTGAAAGAGGGATTAGTAAGAGTCTGTGTATCTTTAGCCGTGCTTACCAGTGTTAGTGCTGGGGGTGAGGTTGTTTAGCGCCAGAGGCTATCAAAAGAACAATAAAAATATCGGTATTTATATACTGAGAGAGGGATTAAAAACGGCGGAAGTAACGGATCGGGAACTAGGCCGAAGTAGACTATAATTCCACAGAGCAATTTTTTGCATTCTTCACCACATTTCTCTTTTGCTCGCTAGTCTTACTAGGAATGATTACCCGGGTTGTGGTATATTACTGATTAGTTGGAGATCTAGATTTGTCGTTTGAGTTAAGCGATACATATCGTACACATTACCCTGAAATTTCTTTTCTGGTGTTATCTTGTGTCCTATTATAATCCTATCGTTAAAATGGGGAATATTCATATTATTATTAAACTTTCATTTAAGACTCTTATCCCTGATAGTCGTCCTTGATGTTATAGTGCAAATACTGGTTGTCATATCAGAACAATGAATAAATAAATGACTACTGACTGAAGTTATTTGTGGACTATTATTACACATATTCTTCTTTCATAATTAATGAGTGACTAGATTTTAATTATATTCTTTATGTCATAAGCTTTCATTTGAATCTATTGGCTATTGTAATACAATATACCATCCTTAAATTTCAATTTATTAGTAACAGTATTCCATGCTCACAGCCACTTTTGAGTTCATCTTGTACATTATTTTTCATTTTAGGATGTTTTCTGGACTGAATGGGTTGGTTTAGGCGAGGAGCTACTGTAATGAGGACAAATAGGGATTCAGAATTTACTCAAGGTTATTGGTAATATTTGACGGATCATTAGTTTAGCACAAAGACAAAGTCATAGTAATCGATATACCGACTGGCGATTTTGTCACATGGCATTTAACGGACCATAGGAAATAACACTGGTGGCAACCTCATTACTACACATTCTACTCAATTAACTGAAAGGTAAAATGTGAGACCATTTAAAAGGGGGTACGCGATTCAAAAGTTTCATAGTAGGAAAATAATAGAGATAAGCGAATTCATGCTACACGATAACTGAACCTGAAAACACTTAGAATCGCAGCGATACCCATGACCATCATAGCAATCAACTGGGCACACATTCAGTAACTTCCATAGGTCCAGTGTTTTAAGTAAACACATGTGAGTATGTCACACTTGACGCCACTAGGAAAAGAGTAG